CCTATTTGAAGGCTGTAATTTGAGGTTTGAACTAAGTACTGAGTTAAAATTTATTGGTTCAACAACCATAGTTTCATATTGCAATTTTGGCATTTTAAGAGGACTATCAAAATGGTTTATCATTTATATTCTTTCTTGTGTAGATGGCTAAAATGCTACAAAATCATGACCTGGTTATAAGAGTTAACTTACGGTTCCAAATCAAACAATGTATAACCCTAATAAGGGTAAATAACAATTTAGTCTCTTATACTTTATCATATTTACAATTTCCTATCCTTTCTCTTATTTGGTTTGATTAATTTCTAAAGTTTAGCACAGTAAAACTATTCATTCTTCTGTCTATAAGTTTCATTTTTGTTATAAAATGAAAATACAATAATAAACGTGAGGGATTAAAAAGAAACATTACAAATAAAAATGAACTTCGAACACCCCAAAGCGTCAGTACAAATCAGCTTACTTCTCTCAGGTGGTCCAAAATCACCCAAACTTTGAAAAATCATCTTCAATTTCCAAACCGTTTGAACCGTTATAAACTATGTTAAAAAAATATTTTGAATCACATAAAAATGATAAACTAATTCTTGTTATAGAAATTACAATGTAAAAGGATTTCATTGAAATGCAATTTTCAAAATCTTTTGTAAAAAATTTCTAAATTCTCCAAAACAACTAATTTCTTGACTCAAAAATAGCTTTTAAAATAAATATTTTAAAGTCACAGAAGAAATTCAAGAAAAATTATATAGAATTGAGTCAAAAATCAAATAATTTATTGCGATATCTAAAAACAACTAAGGCTCCATCTATTTCTAAATAACTTATCTTTAAAAAATATTTTCCTTGAAAAATATTTTTCAAATGACTTATTTTTCACTGTTTGATTATAATATTAAAAATTAATGAAGAATATTAAAATTTTTAATTCATAAGACCATAAAAATAGTAATAATATTGTTCAGAACTACTGGCATATTGTGGGCAATGCTATTGTTCTGAATGCTGTGGATTGGTTACAGAGATGTATTTTTCCTTTTGACCTCACTTTAACAAATATTGTGCTTATTCCGAAAATTCATGTTCCTGAAACTGTGAAAGACTTTAGACCTATAGCCTTATGTAATGTTATATATAAAATTGTCTCTAAAGTCTTAGCGAATAGGCTTAAGAGGATGTTGCCTCACATTATTTTTGTGAACCAGTCTGCTTTTTTGCCTAACCATTTGATCACTGATAATGTTTTGTATGGCATTTGAGACTATACATAATTTAAAGAATACGAGATGTGGGAATTTGGGTTATTGTGCTTTGAAAATTGACATCAGTAAAGCTTATGACAGAGTTAATTGGAATTATTTGTCTGATGTGATGCATTGTTTGGAATTCCCTGTGGTCTGGATTCAATGGATGAGTATGTGTTACTCAAGTGTTAGCTATTCTGTGTATTTGAACGGGATTCCTGTTGGTCCTATCAGTCCTGCTAGGGGTCTCCGTTAAGGGGACCCTATTTCTCCATACTTGTTCTTACTTTGTGCCGAAGGTTTATCTGCTTTATTTCAGGATGCGGAGGAGGAGAGGTTGATTCATGGGTGTAGGGTTGGTAGAGATTGTCCTAGAGTTTCGCATTTGTTTTTGCGGATGACTCTATATTTTTCTTTGAAGCTAATGCTCATGAAGCTACAATGGTGCAATCAATTCTCTTGGACTATGAGGCGAGGTCGGGACAGGCGGTGAACTTTCAGAAATCTGGTACTTTATTTAGCCCCTGTGTTTCGCAACATATTGTAGATGACATTTCTAATATCTTGGGTTTGAGTGGTTCTATTGGAGATATCTTTTATCTTGATCTTCCTTCTCTTATAGGACGAGATAAAAACCAAATATTCTCTTTTATTAAAGACAGGTTGTGGAAGAAATTGAATAGCTGGAATAACAAGTTCTTGTCTAGAGCAGGTAGAGAGGTTCTTATCAAATCTGTTGCTCAGGCTCTACCAGCTTATTGTATGTTGGTTTTCTTGTTGCCCTCTACTTTGTGTCATGAGCTACAAGTTATTATGAATCGCTACTGGTGGAATGGGAAGAAGGAACAAGGCAGAGGTGTTAATTGGCTTTTGTGGGAGAGGATGTCTTATTCTAAGTAGCAAGGTGGTATGGGTTTTCGTGATCTTAGGCATTTTAATCTGGCTAGTGGCAGTTACTAAAGGAGAAAGATACTCTTTTTTACAGAATTTTCAAACAAGCAGTTGTGTCATGAGCTACAAGTTATTATGAATCGCTACTGGTGGAATGGGAAGAAGGAACAAGGCAGAGGTGTTAATTGGCTTTTGTGGGAGAGGATGTCTTATTCTAAGTAGCAAGGTGGTATGGGTTTTCGTGATCTTAGGCATTTTAATCTGGCTAGTGGCAGTTACTAAAGGAGAAAGATACTCTTTTTTACAGAATTTTCAAAGCTAAATATTTCCCGAGAGGGGATCTTTTCAAAGCTCAAAAGGGTAATAATCCGAGCTTTGTGTGGTCGAGTATCTTTGCTTCTATTAATTTGCTTAAGAAAGGGGTGCGTTGGCGCATTGGAGATGGTAAAGGTATTTATGTTGCGTTGGATCCTTGGATCCCTAAGAATGATTCTTCTCTTGCGGAGGATGGGGCTAGATTCATTAGTCTTGTGGTTAAAGTTTGTGATTTTTTTGTGGATGGTGAGAAAAGGTGGGATGTGGGCAAGTTGATGATTTCATTTTCTGCTAGAGATGTGAAGGCTATTTTGTCTATACCTTTGTCTATTCATATAGTGGAGGATCTGGTTTTATGGAATTATGAGAATCGTGGGCTATATACGGTTAAATCTGGATATCGTGTTAGTATGGGTCTGGTAGGATGTAGTCATAATGTTGAATGTTGGGAATCCAAGGTTATGGAAGCGTATTTGGAGCCTCAATGTCCCTCCTAAAATAAGGGATTTTTTGTGGCGAGCTTGTAGAGATGTACTACCTACAAAATCTAACCTTGTGAAATGTGGTCTAGCAGTTGATGATCTTTGTTTTTTTTTGTCCTTCTAGAGAAGATGGTGACTATGTGTTGTGTCATTGTATTAGGGCAAATGCTTGTTGGCGTTTGCTTGATTTTAATATTCCCAGTGTGACTGCAACTTTTATTGATTTATTTATGCAGTGTTGGGATGACCTTGGACAACAAAAAGCAGAACTATTGGCTTTTCTGGCATGGAATTTATGGAAGGCAAGAAATGAATTTTGCTGGTCAGCAAAATTGATGCAACCCACCGAGATTGCATGCATGGTTCTACTCATTGTATGGAATGACATTCTTTTGTTAATTTAAGTGTAGCTACAGGACAAAGAATTTTGCATGGAAATGGGCCAATTGTGGGGCCATGTGTCAACTTGGATAATGTTGGTAGGCATGCATTTTGTGATGCTTCACTATTTCAAAGAGAAGATGTAACAGGTGGTGTGGTGGTGTTTGAGGATGTGAAGGCAGGTTCTTGCAACAAACCGCCTACTACAGCTGAAGCTTTGGTTCTTCGTTCTGCTATACTTTTTATTGGTGATCATTATCAGTCTAGTGGTTATATTTTTGTTGATTGCTAGGATTTATTTAGTGTTTGAATTCTCAAACTTTAAATCTTTCGGAATTTGTGGTTATTGTGGAAGATTGTAAGCAACTCTTAGTTGATAGACCGGATATTCAGATTCGATGGATTCGGCGTACTATGAATGGTGCTGCTCATTCCCTTGCTCGAGCATCCATTCGCTTTTTACCACTTTGTATTTGGGAGAGTGTCCCTAATATTCTCCTTTCCCATTACATTTAATAAAATAGTGGTCATTTTCTCTTAAAAAAAAATAGTAATAATAATAGAAATTTTGTTGCAGGTGAGAATAATACAAAATAATGGTAAATTATAGATACTCTCTCCGTTCCATTTTAGAGGTGTTTTACTTTATTCCACTTTAATGTTAATTTACAAAATAATGGTAAATTATAGATACTTATAGATACTCTCTCCGTTCCATTTTAGAGGTGTTTTACTTTATTCCACTTTAATGTTAATTTACAAAATAATGGTAAATTATAGATACTCTCTCCGTTCCATTTTAGAGGTGTTTTACTTTATTCCACTTTAATGTTAATTTACAAAATAATGGTAAATTATAGATACTCTCTCCGTTCCATTTTAGATGTGTTTTACTTTATTCTACTTTAATATTAATTTAGGATTTTGAGAGTATATTAATAAATTTCTTTTCAATTTTATCAATATTTATTAGGTGTAATTTATTTTTATATTTACATTTATTTTTTTCTTTTTTTATTATTACTTTAATTGTATTTAAACTAAAATTTTGACCACACACAAGACTAAAAGCTTTTCATTGTATGAGGGCATGAAAAATATTAAATGAAAATTACTATTTCAATTGTGGTGCTTTAATATGAGGTAAAATTAACATTGATTTTGTAGTAAGATTAAATAAGGAAATTTTAATTTGATGAAGAACAATTTGGACATTCTACTATATATTTTTAAAAAATTAATATATTTCTCAATCATTTTTTTTAATTTTTGTGAAAATATAAAATGTTACTGTTAGAGTAGAGCAGTGGGAATAATAGTTATTTATATTTAGTAGAGAGAAAATAATTACTACTTCTTAATCTTCTTCAAGTGACATACTTTAATACAAAAATAACTTTGAATGAAAGCAACACTTTTGTTTTTATTATTAGTATTTTCATGAATATTTTCACACTTTTGCATAGGAGACTACTCTTGTTTGGAGATCTATCGCTACACTTTTCCCCTTCTCTACTTGTTTTTTTTATTTTTAAATCCTCTCAACGTGATTAAAGTTTATTTGATAAAAAATTAACTATTTTAATAATTATTAACTATCAATAATATTTAGCTAATAGATTTTTAAATAATTTTATATAAAATTTTAAAAACATAGTATATGAATTAACTTATTATAAAAAACTTTAATCTTTAAAAATTATTTTTTCTAACGCATCCGTATTGCCCATTCACTTGACTCACCTTATCATGGTTTTACTAACACAAATTATTTTAACTCCTCTTATGTAAACGTAAATTTACTAATTTAATTTTAGTCCTCTCGCGGTCGTTTAGACTTTCACCCGTCGTCGCCGCTAACAGAATTCTGTTTGGCACCGAGAAAAAGAGAAGCTTCCCATCCCAGCAACTGTCCAAAATCCTTCCCTGTTTCCCGAGAAAAAGAATATCTCATGAAGCATGTAGCCACTCTAAAAATCAGAACTTGAGAGAAAAAGAGGTCAGTCAGTTCCGCACTATTTTCCTTCTCCGTATGTCTATGGGGTTTCTCCGGGGAAATTTGAAAAATAGAAAAGAAAATAAAAACGAAATCTTTGAGCTTGTCAAAGTAGTATAATAATCTTTTTTTTTTTTCTTTTGTATTTATGCTTGATACAAGAAATGGAACTAGTGAGGTCTGTTTGTTTGCTGGTAATTCTGAGGAAATCAAATCTAGGAAACACATTTCTGTTGTTATTTAATTACCTGACAAAGAAAATAATCTTATTGGAGATACCAACTATGCTTTTTTCGGATGAGTATTGCTTCATTTGAATCTACTATTTTGGGTATAAGTCAAAGGTTTTTTTTTTTTCCCCTTTTCCTAGGGAATTTAATCATCAAGCACACTTATTTGGACCTTTCCCTTTTGAGGAAGACTGTGCCTGTGCTTTGCTTTTGTTGTAATTTTGTGAAATCGTTTTGTATTGAATTTGTAACATCATAGCTGAACTTGAACCATCAAATTTTCTTTTCTTTTATATGATTAATCTCATTTATCATTCTTTTATTCATACATTCGTACTGGGATTTATGAATTTCATTTGTTGTTCTGTACAGTTCTTTGTTAATCCGTTGATTGGAAGAAATAAAACGTTACTTCAATTATGACCATGGCTACTTCAGAAGCAGTTTTGCAAGTTCTACCTGGCAGTTTACCTCACTCTTATTGTTCTGATCCACATTTCAACAATTGCAAGTCAGTGCTTTCCTTTAAATCCAATGTAAACCGTAGAAATTATGGAAGTTCAGCATATCAGAAATCCAAGAATGGTTCAAAACTCTTATGGAAATATGAGAGGATCTATGCATATCAAGGTGCATATATCGCTTGCCATATGAAGGCTGAACGTGCTACAAATTTGGAATCTATTAGGTGCAAATGCCAAAAGTTTGAAAATGTTAGTGGGGTGGCTGCCGATGAAGATATCCCTATATCACTTCCTATACATAGCGTTGGTGTATCAAATGCTCAAGGTTTGGAATTGGATAAGCGATTGAAACATAAAAGTGGAGGTTTCACACCGAATGGTAATGTAGATGCCGCTGGAACTGTTAGAGATACATTGCAGAAGGCTTGTAGGGAATCAATTGAGGAAGAAGCATGGAATCAGCTTCGTGCATCCATAGTTTATTACTGCAGTAATCCTATAGGGACCATTGCTGCTAATGATCCATCAGATGCTAGCATTCTGAATTATGACCAGGTTTTTATTCGTGACTTCATTCCTTCTGGAATAGCCTTCCTCTTGAAGGGAGAGTATGACATTGTACGGAACTTCATCCTTTATACCCTTCAGTTGCAGGTAATGTTATTTTCACTTGATTAAGTTTTGAATTAACTATTTAAAACTATTTGCTCTTCCACTTCCTTCCCTCACACCTCTTTTCCTCCTCCTTCATTTTCTTCTTTTCCTTGGTTTTACCTTAACTCTCAGTGTTTAGATTGATATTGCATCTGTGTTCAATATTCACAATCAGTATTGTGTCAGTAGTGGCACAATTTCATGTGTCAGATGATTCTTTTGCTGATTTTTACATTATGTAAATTTTGGAAGCTTTAGATACCTTTTGGCATGTCATTTGATTATTACATGTACTAGGGATGATTATTCAGAAAAATTACTCATCATAGATTTTGGTTTAAGGATTTTGCTTTAGGAACATATATAACCATGATATGGATTTCGTTCACAAAAACTATGTGTTTTAGTGTTATGTTTGAATTAATGCTCAGTATCTCCCATTATCTCAATCGTTGTTGAAAGTGAGAATATAATGAATTTTACTGTTTCATTTTTGTTCAATTAGTTTCGTGAGTAATTACCCTCTTAACAGAGTTGGGAGAAAACCATGGATTGTCATAGTCCTGGTCAAGGATTGATGCCTGCTAGTTTCAAGGTGCGAACTGTTCCCCTTGATGGTGATGATTCTGCGACTGAAGACATCTTAGATCCTGACTTTGGTGAATCAGCAATTGGCCGAGTTGCACCAGTTGATTCTGGTAAGGAAAATGACCACCAAAAGTTATTTCCTGAAGAATCTTTCTGGTCATTATACCTTTAACAATAGACAATTTCCATTTCCTAATGAATTATAATCTTCCTGTTAGGATTGTGGTGGATTATTTTGTTGCGAGCTTATGGAAAATGTTCTGGAGATCTTTCTGTGCAAGAGAGAATCGATGTACAAACTGGGATTAAAATGATTTTAAAATTGTGTCTGGCTGATGGTTTTGATATGTTTCCAACTTTATTGGTGACGGATGGTTCTTGTATGATTGATCGTCGCATGGGAATTCATGGACACCCACTGGAAATCCAGGTTCACAATTTTTTTAATAAACTTCAATGTTGTTTGTAATTGAGTTGAGTCCTTCATTTTTGTTATCTGCCCTTTCTTCAGCATAGATTATAGCTTTTTTTTTTTTTTTTTAACACTATTATTTAAAATGTTAAATGTTAAATGTAGTTGTTATTTCTGTTATACTCTCTTACTGTGTTTATTCAGGATCTTTATATTCCTTTTTCTGTTTTCTAAAATCGTTGCCAAGTTTGATACCACGAGTGTGTCTCTGATAGTGAAGCACTTATTGTTCTTCGAAAGAAAGAAGAGTTATAAAAAGAAAAGAAAGATGTGTGTTATGCAACTAAGCAACTGTAGAGAAAATAAAGGCAATTTCTATAGAATAATCAGTATTGTTTGCCAATCTCATCGTCACTCTAGTTAAGATTGTTCTTGGTATTGGTGTACAATTAGAGGTTCAACCAGGCATACATTGAATAATTAGTAATTCACAAGAAAACAATTTTTGCCCTCTGGAAATTTGTATAATTTGTTTAGTTCACACTCTGTGATTTAGATGTTGGTACCCTGACCAGAATCCAAGAATTGGTTTGGTGCTACCACAACAATTTTATCATCACATTCTCTGAAAAAATACATGCATTATTGTAGTAATAGTGGATGGTGTGCTGATCACCTAATAGAAGTTTGCTGTGGAAAGTTTTAGTCAGAGTTATTATGCCTGGGTTTCTTCCCAACTGAAAAATGGCATTTCCTACATTTATCATCTAATGGTGGTCCAGAAAGAACATTAGCTGGAAAGTTAAAATAGCGCTGTCGTATCAATTTTGAAATATGATGATTGCTCAGATCATTTCATTATCTGGAAAGGAAACTAAATTCATGTGATATTCTTAGAGGGCCTTGTGTATATTCTAAAACAATGATGAAATTGGGCTCAAGACCTTTTATATTGGCATCTGTTAGCGGAAAAATTTTTTACCCTTGAATATGAGCATTATTCTTATGGCATAATTACAACCTAATATTGCATGATCTTGCAGGCACTCTTTTATTCGGCATTGCTTTGTGCACGGGAAATGCTTGCTCCTGAGGATGGATCAGCTGACCTCATTAGAGCTCTTAACAATCGGCTAGTTGCTTTATCCTTCCACATTAGAGAATACTATTGGATTGACAGGAGAAAGCTTAATGAAATCTACCGTTACAAGACTGAGGAATACTCATATGATGCAGTTAATAAGTTTAACATTTACCCAGATCAGATTCCCCCCTGGTTGGTGGAATTTATGCCGAACAGAGGAGGGTATTTGATTGGGAACCTGCAGCCAGCTCATATGGATTTCCGTTTCTTTTCTCTTGGAAACTTGTGGTCAATTATAAGTAGTCTTGCAACAGTGGATCAATCACATGCCATATTGGATCTTATTGAAGCAAAATGGCCAGAATTAGTGGCAGAGATGCCATTAAAAATATGCTATCCTGCACTTGAAGGCCAGGAGTGGCGAATTATTACAGGCAGTGACCCCAAGAACACGTAAATTCTTAACCTTGATCCTTCTGATGCTACTGTTATTTTGTTATTGTTTTTAGGTTATTGCTAGCTTTGTGTCACCAATCTTAAAACTTATATTTTGCTGCAGTCCTTGGTCGTATCACAATGGGGGTTCTTGGCCAACTTTGCTCTGGCAGGTTAGTTTAATGTTACTGTATATCAATTAAAAGTTTTAGTGCCATCAGCTTATTTTACCTCCATATTTCATTTGGCAAATATAAGTAGTTACGGATCATTTTAAGCTTCTGATCTTAATACAAATAAGTATTAAGAACTGCAATCAATAAAAAAGCTGTGCTACTGCACATAACATGATGCACTTGATATCAGTGACGTTTCTGTGCATTCTAAGTAGAACATATTTGTGCTCAAATTTCCGTATCATAAGCTATGTTCTTTTCATGTATGCTCATTTCGACTAACATAAGAATATCCATTGTAGTTGTGTATAATCCTCAACATTGAAAATGTGAAAGGTTAGTCATTTTACAAGGAAAATGTCACTGAGAGGGCGTTCCCATTATATTACCCCTCTTGACCTAATATTAAATGTCTGTTTCCTGTGCTTATAATTGCATGCACACATATAAGGTTCTTTAGCCATTTTGAAATTTGTATTACGAGGTTATTCATGCAAGAGCATATATTGTGTGATTAACTATTCTAATAATTTTTTTTCCTGGGCTTCGTGCAGCTCACTGTGGCATGTGTAAAGATGAATAGACCAGAGATTGCAGAAAAAGCTGTCAAAATTGCAGAGAGGCGAATATCTAGAGACAATTGGCCAGAATATTATGATACTAAAAAGGCAAGATTTATTGGGAAACAGGATCGACTATTTCAAACCTGGTCTATTGCAGGTTATCTTGTGGCAAAGCTCATTCTTGAAAACCCAAGCGCAGCAAAGATCGTAGTTAATGAAGAGGACTCAGAGCTTCTAACTACCTTTTCTTACATGATGAATGCAAACCCTAGAAGGAAGCGCAGTAGGCCCGGATTTAAGCAGCCATTCGTAGTTTGATGGCATCATATGAAGCTCAGGGGAGGATTTACTCATGTACGTTCTCTAAGGTTATGGTTAGGCCAACATGAATGTACTAATATGTTCCATACAGCTGCAATTAGGTACACTTCTTCAGTAGACATGATATCTCTGCGGAAATATAGATAGACTAGCCTTTAGCTGGCACATTTTGTGAGTTTTTGGTGAATGGTTTTAGTTTTGTTGATAAAAAATGTGTATCCTGATGAAAAATTTGAGTTAATCGATAAAGTCTTATTTAAATTCAGGTGCATTGTGTAGAAATAAAATACATGGTGAAATCTCCTTTCTTCCCTGTATTTTTATATTGAAATGAGAAGGATATTTTTGTTCCCTATAATAGAAAATGGCTCTTAAATCACTCACAGAGTTATAACAGAAGCACAAATTAATGAAGGATTCATTAGTGTTCAAAATGACTACATGGATGCACCCCGCAAGTTTCCATTTATTATGTAGCAGATATCTTCAAAAAGTTGCTTAACTTATATGTAGAAGAACAATACAAAATCTAACAATTGAGAATTTTGCACAAGTAAAAAGAACACACATCCTTTATAGTCCAGCCAGTGCTATAAACGAATCAAAGTGAATCGAGTAATGTTAAATTCAATCTCATTGTACTCGGTAAAGATATTATTGAACTAAATAGTTAAAAAAATTGTCCCTTTCTGTTGATTAAACAAGCTGGCAACTTTACTCATTCGTAACTTTATTGAATATGTTCAGCAACACTAATTATTTTAACTGTTAGCTGTTTTTGATAACATTTAGTATTTTAACCAGTTACTTAAAAAATTGAAAGTTGATGCCAAACACCACCTAAGTCTACCCTGAAAAATGAATCACTAGTCAATTACATGAAAAGCACACTTATATCAACTGCTGGAGTAAATATCCGATTCGCTTGTTGTTGCTTCAACTTTAGTTATCATACAGTTAGATACATTGATTTGTTTTTCCATATGGACAAACAATTTTATCATCCAAAACATAGTTTAAAAGCATAACATGGGCAAAACGGAGGATGGCTAAAGGTTTATAATGAGAAAATCAATAACTAGACATGATCTACACTATAGATTATTTGTAATCTGTTCATTAAATTAATACAAGTTTGGATTAAATAGAATTCAAGCACGAATTATGAACTTTGAATGCCGCTGGTCTCTGTCAAGATGCTATCCAATAATGAGTCACAGGCATCTTCAAGTATATCCAAAACCTGTGATTACAATATAGCATTACATGAGTATAAACATAACGGGGGAAAACTACTTTTTTATATATATTTAATTTTTTAAAATAAGTTATAACATATATCAAAGCACTTGCTAAATTGGAACTTAGAAGGGTTGATCAGGTCTCGTATAAATAGCAATCAATCAAGTATTAATCCTAGCAATAATGTATCTCAATTCTCAAGTTCCACCATACAGGATGCAAAAGGAGGTTATAGAATGATCAGTGCTCTTGTGCTCCTACACGATAAAGTTTAAGAAGGCAAGTTCAAATAGAGACCAAAAATACATTAAAAAGCAGTTTGATCGGCATTGAGACCAGTCACAGCTTGAAGGAAGTTGCGAAAGAGGATTCAGACAGGCCAAAACTTATAGAAGTCAGAGGTATGAGTAAATAAATGCACAATCTATGCATGTCCTAGAAAAACTAAGTTTAAATCAGACGTGACTTCTTATTTGGAAAAACGACTACAAAAGTTAAAGAAATTATTTGGCAAGTGAAAACCTAAATACCTAAATTCCGAAAGTATCTCGGTGTCTCCCAATGGCTGCACTGCCTAGTTTAGATAGGTTGAAGTAATCTCAGTTCATTTGTCAGAATACATTGATATAATCAAACAAATGTGTTGCACTATCTGAGCTAACTTGTGCCTTTACTGACAATAAATCACATATCTAGACCAGTCTAAGGACGCATCCCAACACTTGGCCAATGTACACCTCCTAGGTTATGGCCCCCAAGATCAGATATTGGTCAACAAGGTTAAGGAATCACTCCTATGAAGAACTTTCCTACCAAGACCAAATCTATGTGGACCACTCTTACATGAATTGAGACTCGTCCGTAAAGTGAAAGCCATCCCATATGAGATTAGTCCATCGTGAATCTAGCAAGAAGTACTCCAGTAAAACCATGAAGCCTCAATTTTTATAAACCTTATAAAAGATAATATTTATTGCATCTAACTCATGAAGCCCCAAGGACACCAAAGAAATTAAGGGTAAAAGGTTATCAATGTAAGCTTCTACTTGAGATATTTATACATTACCTTTTCAAAACCCTGAGGTCCACCATAATAAGGATCTGGAACTTCAGTCTCATTGTGTTTCTTACAAAAGGAGCACATTAATTTAACCTGCAGAAACAAAACAAACATAATAGTAAAGACTTGACAAAACAAAACCACACTGAATTCATGACATACAGCTCTAAAACATTTCCTAACCTTCTTGTGAGCATTATCAGGTAATTTCTCTCTAAATTTCCATTTATTAAAAGCTTCTAGTATATCCTCTGCACATAAGATACATACATTTAGAAAGTCAGTATATTTCTTGCATACTTTTATTAAGGAAAAAGAAGCAACTATATCAAACCAACAATTCTTGAGTATTCTGTGCATGCTTTCCTACCTCTATTTTGCTTGTCCATTGCAAGGATGATATCAAAATCCCTAAAATCAGACGGCCGAATTGGTCTTGACATGGATGTTATCTCAATCCCACGCCTCTTTGCGGCTGCCCTCATTCTTGGGTCCGCTGGGTTTCCCTTTTTCAACATTAAAATATTTTAAAAAAAAAATCAATCAAAAAGCATTCTTCTCATAATCCACAGTCCACGTTATTGTATGATACGCTATGACCACTTATTATTATAAAGAATCCTTTTACAGGAAATAAATCTTGATGAACAGGTCCTTCACTACCCATGGCGCTTTTCCTTTAATTTTCTCAGCAGTTGAACAATACGGTTGATTTTTCCAAGACACATAAACAATGGTGTCAACGGTACGTATTGTCTACCAAGAAATTTTTTCTAAAAAGAAGAAAATAATTAATCAAAAGAATTCTTGATAATAAAGCTCCTTAACTGCCCTTTTCTTTTCCGTCAATTTTCTCAGCAGCCAACAATAGATTTGATTTCCCAGAAAATTTATCCAATATTACATAAGCAACAAACAGAAATAGATAGATAAATATACCTCGTGATAATTAATGGTGCCAGCAGAGTCAATCTTGAACTTGGAGTCCAGGCCTTTCTTCTTGACAATGTCAGTGAAGACACCCTCAGCAGCTGGGCTTCTACATATGTTACCTAAGCATACAAAAAGGACAGAGAAAGGTTTGGCCTCTGTCTCAGTTGAAGAGGCCATGGATGAGGCTTTGATCCTCAAAGGGTAAGAGAAAGCCAATCTCTTTATGTATAAGTTTTTGTGACGATGGGAATTTAGAGAGTATTCTTGGACAAATGGGTACCTAAGAAATGTGGGTCTTAAAGTGATGAGTTTGGTGGAGGTGTTGTGGCAAAATTGTAAATTTAGAGATGGAATCGGGAATCTGGTGTTAAGACTGTACAAGGATGATGATGTTGCCCTCGTCATCATCTCTCCTGAGAGTTCGGAGGCTCTGAGATGATAATTGCTGCTATAAAAAAAATGGGAGCTTGGGCTTGTGCAGTTGTGTTTGATAAAGAACGAACTTTTTCATTTGGGAGAGAAAACAAATGGATAGGGTGGCAAAGGGGTTGGGTCTCTTCGGTGTGATTGGGAATTTGAGATCCTAAAGATACCAACCTCAACCTCCTCTTTTTCCATCAATTTTGGATATTAAGGTCCCTTGGGTAATAATTTATGAACGACACGTACGGAATTACAATTACTTGATTAAATCTATGGCAGAAGTAGCATAGTTTCATAAAAGACACCAGAGGAAGTCATGTCAGGTATACCTCTGCAGGTGATTTTCCAAGAAGAGATTACTAATTCCCCTATTCAAGATTTCCAACTCTAAACTAGCTTTATAATAGTATACATATAGTATATCTCATACTCAATAAGTTGCCGCCAATTTTTAGAATTACATTTACACTATATGCTATAGATACATATCAGTTACAACAAGGATGAGAAATCTCATTTTTTTAAAAAAAGGAAACAAAACATCTTCCTTTCCCACTCTAAAACATCTCAAACTCTGTATACTCATCTGTACTCTTAGCTTCCTTACATTTCGTATTTTCTTTGTTCTGAGAAAATGTGGTAGGCATGCCGATTCCGATATCACAAGATTTGGGCATCTCAGGCGGGATTGCACACCGTATCAGAGCCCAATTAAGACCTTCAAAGAAAGGGTGCTGTTTGATCTCTGCAGCCCCTTTTGTAGATCCTAATCGATTTTCGGGTTCCTTTATCAACAAACCTCGAATCAAATCACGTGCATGAAAACTAACTATTGGGCTACCTGGAAACTTGAGGCTACGTGATACAACGTTAGATAATGTTTCTTCATTTCCTGAACCCTTGAAGGGTGTCCTGCCATATAATAGCTCAAACAAGAAGATTCCAAATGTCCACCAATCAACAGCACTACCATGACCTTCGCCTTTGATAATCTCTGGAGCGAGGTATTCATGAGTTCCCACAAAGGAATTAGATCGAGCATTAGTTGGCTCCACTACCAGCTGCGGGAGAGGACTGACTTGAGCAGCTAGGTCAGACTTTAACTTCCGAGATTTTGCAGCAACTGATAGAAGTCGAGGAGTGAAACAAGAAACCTGCCAAGCTGGGTGAAGGCAGAAAGGGTCAATGCAGCTAGCTTCAGAGCAAGGACTTGACATCTTTTTTGCAGGCTCTGCTACCGGTGAAGATGACTGAACCAGAATTGGATTGACAGCACATCGCAATGACAAATCAAAATCTGAGAGCATTATGTGCCCATCTTCTCGGACCAGGATATTTTCAGGTTTTAAATCACGGTAAACAACTCCAAGCATGTGCAAGTACTCTAACGCAAGGAGGACTTCAGCAACATAAAATCTGCAGATATGATGACATCAAAGAAAAAAATGACAAAGTAAATATAAATTACTTAAGATCAATGACAAAGGAAAACTCTTCTTATATATTATTCAAAAGGGTTTTCTCTTCCACCGACTCCACCTTTTGACAGTTCTCATAGAGATATTACAAGCATAGTTTGCATAGAAAAATTATACATGCGTATAGCAACCTATCCCAGTCAAAGAGACAGCATTGGGAGAAAGAATATAACAATGCTTAAGGGAAGCAAAAAAACAAGTTCATGAGAATCAGGTCTTAGTACAAAGAATAATCTGGGCAAAAAATAACACCTCAAAATAGACAGGTACCTTGCTGCTTGTTCAGGGAAACTTCTTCCAGGTTGCTTTTGCCGCAACACATGTAGATCGCCACCTGGACAATACTCCATAACCAAGCATGAGAATCTATCAGACACAAAATGGGCAAATAATGTGGGGAGAAAAGGATGATCGAGCATCTGCAAAATCTCTCTTTCAGTTTCAGCCCTAGACATCTTCTTCCTGCTCGCCAAAAATTCATTGTCCATAACTTTCAGTGCAAATAGACAATTTGTACCAGTTAGCTCAGCAAGATAAACAGACCCGATATCTCCACAGCCAAGCTTCTTGATCAGCTTGAAGTGCTTCAAACCTAGGCTTCCATGCTGCCTTTGAACCTGACGAATGGCTTCCCACCTCAAGTCCTTAGACATATGAGGCCTATTACCACATCGGCTAGACCCACTGAGATTGCTATCTTCACTAACACTAGTGCTGCTACTATAATCACCGATGCTACTTTTTGAGCTTTGAGAGAACTCTCCCTTTTCTCTTGATCTTGATCTTTCATCAACTTTACTTAATATAGATTTAGTTCTGATACCAGAATTACTCGGACCCAATTTGCTTGAATTCAACTCCTCAATGCCTGAATTGCATTCAGTACTATGATTCACAGCAATAGATGCTGAAGAAGCTTTTACACTTTCTTCCCTTCCAGTTTCTGGAGTAAAGTCACAAGTGTCTGAGTTACTAGAACTAGGATCCAGATCACGGTTGACTTTTCCACTAGAAGGATTGGAAATGCTGGGGACAGGAGCTGAATCCTGCTTTACTTTCTTCTTAACAAAGCTTTTGTTCCTGAAGATTGGTTTCATAAACCGAGGACTACTACATACAGGACTATTCACCACACTACTTGAAGACAGCAAAGATACGGTATGTAAATGGTTTTTGTGCCTCTCTGGCAGTGGAATTTTGGCTGAAACTTCAACTGAGGCTGAAGCTTTTTCATCCAACTCTGGAAGTTTCTCACCAGCACGATTCACAGATGAAGAATCTGTAGATTTAAGTCTTTTAACTTCTGTTTTCAACATTTCACTATTAGACAGTGTATTCAAAGGAACAACTTGATCTGAAGCATTCTGATATGACAGCTCTGCCTTCTCCATTTGTGAGGAGGATTCACACATCTTCTCAGCAGAACTTTGCGTGATTCTTTCTGGTACAAGGGACACTTCCACCAAATTACCATTACCTTGATTCAGGGGGAGAACAGATCCATTCGCCTCAACTACAACTGCCTTATACAACCTTTTGATTGTTCCCGATTCTGAGGCGCCTGATGAAACTTGTGGTCGCGATAACCGCTTCATAGCAGCCATTTCTGATGCCTGAGAAATGCATAATCCCCTGAGTGCCTGCTTCAAACTCACTGGCTCAGAAATTCCTATTCCTGACATTTGTGGTGAACCAATTCTGATCGGCCTCTTCATTGCTTTCTTCCGTAAACTGTCTTTACTGCCTTCATTTGATAGACCAAAACCCTTAGCTGAAGTTCTAATGTCAATTGCTTCAAAAAGACGATTAATGTCATCCTCTATTGAATACCTATTTGCTGAATTTGGAACAGAATGCTTTCCAGCTTTCTCATCCATTTTAGAATCAAAGTATAATTCTTCAGTTGATTCAACAATTTCAGAAGTACTAGGCAAAGTATCCATCACTATGAGATTCACTATAATGCTACAGAGAACTGATATCTCTTTCCAAGGTCACATTAGCCCATTCCTGAAGCAGCAATTCGAAGGTAAGGTAGCACAGAAATCAGAAAAAATACGTCTCCTTTGAAGTTCTTTTCAATCATACTGATTCCCACTGTCAAATAGCCTATTAAAACCTCCTACAAGCTTCAAAATCATGCATTCAAATCCTGCCACAAGTAATATATTTTGGATAAACACAAGCAACATGTCATGGAAAAAGCTATTCAACCATCAAAACATAAAGCAATAACATATCACACTTGTTATCCGAACAAAATTTTATACGTAACTTTTTCAAGTTTTACATGACCTGGCTTTGGAAATTCTGTTCCAATGGGGCTTGAAAGGCCAAACCTTGTTTAAGGATTCAACTAAAAATAACAACTTTTTTGCTGCTAGTGAAAAGTTTCAAGGTTTTAAAGACAGCAAGCTTGATTCAAAAAGAATTTACACATACCTACCCCATTGATCTCATGTTTCATGAAACTTTCTATCATTTGTCCTCCTAATCCTAATCACATATCTACTATGTGACTCGTCCAACATTTGGACGCCTATATAACTACAGAAGTTCAAACTTCAATTTCGATAAATCAGCAACTTGCAACATGATTCAGTGTCATTTCGAAAACTAATCTGAAAATATGCAACAACCTAGTTACAAAAATTACAAGATACCCAATAGGGTAAATGGGTAATCACATGTCTTCTCATTGGTTGCGACAAGGGAAATTGACTGATAAACTATACGAGTACAATATTCTTAGATCTTTGCGGTTTAGAAAACAATACTAGAAGGAAAACATATAACAACAATACGACAACATCAACATGGACCGTTATGTCAAAATTCAAACTGGCAAAGCATGTTGTGATGTTAAATCAAGCAACCTAGTCTGATAACAAGCATGTTCTGTGCCTGAGATGATTATACTATTTTCATTACTATAAATAAATAAATAAATATTAGACAAATAATTTAAAAAAATGTAAATTTTTTGCCATATAAAATTCAAACATAGGAACGCCAGAATTCCACCAACAACGAAAAAATAAGTCACAGGAGCAATTAAAAATAAGCAACACATATTTAAATTTAATATTTTAAACTCTAAATTATTTAAAAAGAGAAATAAAATATTATAAAGAAGAAATCAAAAGAAGGAAATGGCAATAATTACAAACAGATAAACAGAACAAAAGGCCAAAAATTGGGTCCGGAAATATTTCTGCCTACCTGAAACGCGATCAGAGCCATGCATCATACGGAAACGGAGAAAATTACCGGCTGCCTGAGAGGTTGAGAGAGAGTGAGGGAGAGAGAGAAAGAGAAGGCGCGGTGTTTGAAGATAGAAATAATTTAGGGAGAAAGAGAGGGAGAGGTGGGCGTGGTGTTAGGGTTAGGGCACGAGAGAGAGAGGTGGGAGAGTGAATGAGGAAAGAGAAAAGTTAGAAATGCAAATCACGAGAAGTGTCACTCTCTCTTTCTCTTACAGCTACTGTTCCTTTCTCTGTAATGGCGGAAAATTTAGGAGAGTTTCCTGTATTCTGTATTCCCCTGTCATTTTTCTTTTTGTATTTTCTTCTAAAATGGTACACAATGTTCGCGGGCTGCGATTTTCTGCATCGTTCCTATCTCAACACATTCATTTTTATTTATTTATTTATTTTTTAAATTAAGTGGTTTTTTTTTTTAATTAGGAGAGGATCCGAACGTGGATCAATCAAAATAAATTACTATTTAATCTTCAGATTATACTCCGGCATATTAATTAGCTAGTTATGTAACTACGCTGTCAGCGAATTCTATAATTTTATATTTTTAAAGATTTAAAGGGAATAATTTTTCAGAAAATTTATGATAGTCATATTATATTAATTTAATTTAAATAATTTAATTTAATTTAATGATACAAGATAAAATTATATACTCTTTAGAAATTCTCAAACATAAACTGAATTATTTATTACTATAAATTGAAATTCTCGAGCACCTTATATTTACGTGTGCAAATGAGGATTAATTTTTAATCGATTGCACAAACACTTCAGGAAAAATTGGTACAAGAAGCTGTGGATGCACTTCTTGATAATGGAATCCGCGGACAACCTAATCCACAGCTTCTTGATAATCGAATCCGCGGACAACCTATGAAGGACGGTCATAATAAGATTTACAAGTTGTTTTCGGATGTAATTGAAGGCAAAGAAGGAAGATTTCGTGAGACTATGCTTGACAAACGGGTCGATTATTCGGGGCGTTTAAAAGGTTTGCAACCCAGTGCTATACCCATGTCGATATCGGCACTCGCGGGCACATATTGAATATTTAAAAAACGTGTCCAATTATTTTTAAATTTTATTAATTGGGACACTTTTAGGACACTTCAAAAATACTTCTTTGATACTTGAGGGACACTTTAGGATAGGTCTACCATGAAAATAAAATGTTGGTAGGCAATTCATGGTGCAAATGCACCTCTACTTCAAAAAATAGCCATCAAATTGCTTGGTCAACCATTTTCTTCACCATGATATAAAAGGAATTGGAGTACGTATTCATTTATCAAGTTTATAAGAATTAATAAATTAACTCCAAAACATGTTGAAGATTTGATTTTATTAATTGTAATTTCGACTTCTATCAAAAAGAAACTCACAATATTATATTGAACAAATAAAAATATAGGATATTGCAGGAGATTAATTTGACTTTTTTAAAGATGTTAAAATTCTTGAAATTGTCAATTATCTCTAGATGAGCAGATGAAGGTGATGATCTTCAATGATGATATTATTATTGAGGATTTAATTAATGATGTTAAAGTAGAAAATTAATTATTTTTTATTATATGTTTATGATTTATTTTGGATGGTAATTTATATATTTTAATTTCTTAATAAATTATATCATTTAGTATAACTTATCCTGAGCGTGTCGTGTCCTTTTTTTTTTTTTTTTTTATTATCTCTCAGGGATGTGTATGCCACCGACATCCAGAAGGTGAATGATCTTCAAGGTTAGATATATTTAATTATTTGAGGATTTAATTAATATGTTAAAGTTAGAAAATCAAGTTATTTTTATTATATGTTTATGATTTATTTTGGGATGGTAATTTATATATTTTTTAATTTCTTAATAAATTATAATATCATATGCTATAACTTAATCCTGAGTCCGTGTCTGTGATGCGGCTTTTTTTTTTTTTTAATGAAAATATTACCACTAATTTCCCTGAGAGTCTCCTGTCGTAGTCCATACAACGTTAGGTTTGAAAAAAAAGAAGCCATAAATGACTTTTTTTTTTTTTTTGAAAATTACCCTATTCTGTGTCTCCTGTCCGAGTCCATACAACTTAGGTTTTGAAAAAAAAAAGCATAAATAAACCTCAAATCTCATAACTAATTCTAAATATATAGATAAAATATGGTGAAAGCAATTTTAAATTTGTCAAAGAAACTGAAAAAAGACGAGTAATTTCTATGATATCAAAACCTTTTTTTAACTAAAAGCTAAGACATCATAAACCAAATAATAGCTAAGAGATCAAAAACCAAACATGGAGGGACAAGACTTCATTAACACTGCAGGCTACATAAGAAAAATAACTCACCCAAATTACATCTGATTGATTGTTCATTGAACTCTTTCTAAATATAAACTATATTAAATTGTATATAATGTTTCCATATGACTGCTATATTGAACTTTTAAATCGAGTAATTTCATGGTAAAATATATAAATTCATCTGAAAATATTATGATTATAAGAAAATAAAGAAAAAACACTAAATATCTTTTTAATAAAATTATACGTAGTTAAATAACTTAAATTACTTGTCAAACGGGTCAATTTTTGAGATTATTTATAGCCCAACTAATTTATTTTGAATGTATAAGAATAATTTACTTGTATTGTCTCATATTCTGTCTCTTTTTACACCATTAAAAGAGTTAAAGAGTCATTCAATTTCAAGCAGCACTACCCTTATGTTTCAAGCAGCACTACACTTATGTTTCAAGCAGCACTTACATTTATGTTTAGCGAACCCCATTTGGAAGGTTAATGGTTCTATTTCTAGAAAAATGCTCATGGAGAGAGACAAATACAAAGCCTAAAACAAAATTAATCTTATAAGTACTCATTCTACCTCATAATTTTTGTCCTAATTTGACTTGCATACAAATTAATAAAATTTAGTTAATATAGTCAAACTATAATTTTTGCTTTATTTTTTCCTAATATGCCCTTATGTCAATATCTATTAAAATTAAGTGATCCATAGTAGTTCTTTCTTGAAATTAATTAAACAATAACTAAATGTTTGATTAAATAGAGTTTTCTTGAAAGATTAAAGATTAATATTTTAATTTTATTTATATCAAGATTTAATTAACGATAATATAATAGTTTTTTTTCTAAAAGAAATTAAAGTTGAAAATTTTATGAAGAGGAAAGTACCGTATACAATATGAAAATCAATATGTTTCTATATTGATGTGGAGCAACTGGCACTTAAATATATGGAAGACTTGGATCGTTGCAAATCCAAGAAGAAAGGGCACGGCCGTGCCAATTCTATCACGTTCGTGCCAGCCTCTAAGAGTCCAAGCACGCCCGTGCCATGTCAAGGCAGCTAGCTTGTGCTAGCCTCTGAGAGTCTAAGCACGCTCCTGCCATGTCAAGCACACCAGTGCTGACGAGACCATGAAGATTCGAGTACCGGCACGCCCTTGTCATACCAAGCATGCCCCATGCTAGCCTCTGAGAGTTCTCGACACGCCCCCCGTGCTCGCCTCTGAGAGTCCTCGGCATGTCCCTTGCCATTTCTAGTACGCCCGTGCCGCCTCCCTCACTAGGGTTTTATGGATTTCGTGTTATTTTTTAGGGTTTTATAACTTTTAACCTAAACCTATAAATATGTTATTTTGTATTAGGAACTCATTCATTATCTTTGATCATTATTCATATCAATAAACCTCCTTGAGAGCTTAGTTCTCTATTTTATTCGTCGATGTTTATTTTTAGGGTTTATATAACTTTTAACTAAAACCTTTATAAAATATGATTATTTTGTGATTGATTTGACATCATGCATTATCTTTGGATCATCTAATTCATATCAAAATCCTGTTATTTTGTATTATTGACATCATTCATTATCTTTGATCATTATTCATATCAATAAACCTCCTTGAGAGCTTAGTTCTCTATTTTATTCGTCAGATCAAATGTCATTGATCACAACTCCTGACGGAGTATAATCATCTATTCCCATTCACGTAACTGTCCTGCGTCAGTTGGTATCAAAGCCGAAAGGCGAAGTATCTCCATGGCCGACCATCATGAAACACGACTCACAGCCATTGAGGGGAAGTTCAAAAAGTTAACCGAACAGATGAGACAGTTGACTCTTGCCATTCAACAAGGTAACCTACAACGTGCAGTTGCAACAGTAGGATCGAATCAGCAATAACCAGATTTTGCAAGATGCCAAAATTGTTATGATGGAGGCCGAGATTACAGAAACAATGGAGAAAATTTTCATGAGGGATACAAAATAAAGGTAGACTCGGGATCGTTAGATATTGAAAGCAATCTTGATTGGCTAGTGGAGGTCGAACTATTCCTTGAGATCATGAATATCAAGGATGAATGTAAAGTTTTCATTGTGGCATATAAACTAAAGGGCGATGCAGTAACATGGTGGCATTCTATTCAAAACGAACGCCATCGTCGAAGGACTGAGCCTGTGCGAGATTGGGTTTTAATGAAACAGTTGATTGAATAATCTTTTCTTCCCAGTGATCACTCTCAAATCCTGTGTAATAGGTACCATGACTATTTCCAGGGAAACCGAAAGGTTGATGGGTACATGGAAGAGTTCTTAAGATTGCAGGTGCTATGCGACAATTGTGAAACTGAATCCCAATAAGTGGCTCATTATTGGAGGGGACTGAACCATGCTATAATGTGTATGATGAGTGTAGCTGCAATTTTCACATTGGCAGATGCAATTGAGATGGCCAAACGTGCAGAAAATAGAATTAACTGGAAGCCTCGACAACCGTCTAATCGTAATTAGAATTTTAGACAACCCTATTCATCCAGAAATCAACAGTTCAATAGAAATTTTGGTGGAAAGAATTCAAGAGTAGTAACTCCTGTTAATAACCAGAGTTCATAGCAGCCCTCAACAGAAGAAAAGAAAGAATCCCGGGGAAAGGCAAACATGGCAGACAGAAACAATAAGTCGAATCCGTATCAGAAGCCAATCAAAGACTATTGTTATTGATGCAGAAAACTGGGGCATACATATAACATGTGTCAGGAGCGCAAGGGGGCTAAGGAAGGGCGTCGACAGGTTAATGTAGTTGATGAGGTGACTGAGGTTGAAAAGGTAGAAGACGAAGATGAAGGGTCCATGGTTGGTTCAGAAGAAGGTGAGGTCACGTTCGTTGTACAGAAAATTTTGTGCTCTCTAAAACAAGAAAGCGACACTCAACGAAGAAAAATTTTTCAAGCTAAATGTCGGGTTGGTGAAGCGGTGTGTCGACTCATTATCGACAGTTGCAGTTGTGAAAATTTGATAGCCAAGTAGTTGGTTG